ACCTCAACGGGCCCACGCCGTGGCTGGCGGCGGAGTCGCTGGCCGTGGCTCTGCCCCCAGCGGCTGCGGCGGTCTTCGCGGACGAGAGCCTGTACGCGCGCAGCGCGGTGGGCTCGTGGTGCTTCTCGGCGAGCTTCACGGGTCAGCTCGCCGGCGCGCTGCTGGAGACGGCGTCCACGCTGGGTGAGTTCAACCGCGTCTGTGGGATCATCACCGAGGCGTCGAAGGCGGCCGCGGACACGGCTGCCGAGGTCGCGGAGGCCTTTGAGGCCAAGGTCGCCAGGGCTGCCGCAGCGGAGCGTGAGCAGGCGAACCATGACGCGTCGAAGCACGAGGCGAAGGAGCAAGAGTACGAGGCAAAGCTCGCTGAGCTGAGGGCCGAAGTCGAGCGGAAGACCCCTGGGCCGCCAGGGGCTGGCGTGGGCCAGCTCGTGGCGGACAAGCCCGAGGCGGCCGTCTTCGTCCCGGGCCAGGCGGAGCGCAACGCTGCCCCGGTGGCTGCGCCGGCCCCGGCTGCAAAGCAGAGCGCAGGCAAGGGCGGCAGGGGGAGAGGGGGCGGAGCTGCGAAAGCGGAGCCGAAGGGCGGTGGCGCCGCTGCCCCGGCCACGCAGGGCGCGCGGCAGCCGCCGCCGCCGAGCTCGTGCCTGGTGTGCGATGGGCCGCGGACGAACCCGAAGTACGCCGCCTGCTCGAAGGAATGTTCGGCCGCCATGCGGCAGCAGAAGGCGCTGGAACGTTCCGTCGCATCGCGCCGCCGTGCAGCCGGCGGCAGGCCGGTGGGCGCCACCGCACAGCAGGCGACGGCAGCACAGGCTCCAACGCAGGCCGTCCTTAGCGAGGAGGTGGCCACAGCGCTCATCAGCCTCGTGGAAACGCGCTCCGACGGCCAGGACGGAGCTGCGTCGTCCGCGACGGTCGAGTCGCAGATCCCGGTGGTGGCGGCAACGGCACAGACAGAGGCGCTTGCTGACGCCATCATGGACCTGCTGCGCTGAGCTGGCGCGGCCGCTGTACCTGTCGGAGGATTGAAAGTCGTATTAGTCGTAGTAGTCGTAGTAGTAATGTTGGTCAAAGTAGCAGCAGTAGTCGTATACTTAATCGTAGCAGTAGTGGTTGCAATACGAGTAGCCGGCATAGTTTTTGTAGTTGTAATAGTAGCTGTAGTTAGTAGCAGTCGTAGTAGTCGTCGAAATCGTTTTTGGAGACGTAGTAGTAGCTGTCGTAGTTGTAGTCGGAGTAGTACTCGTGATGGCAGTAGTCACGGAATGCCGGTGGCAGTGGTCGTGCTCGTAGTAGTAGTAACAGTAGGAGCAGTAGTTGCAGTAGCAGCAGTAGTAGCGATAGTAGCTGTAGTCGTAGTCGTAGTCGTAGTCGCAGTCGTGAACGTAGTACTCGTAGTATTAGCAGGCATAGTGGTCGCAGTAGATTAGAAGGCGTAGATGGAGTAAAAGGGGCAGTAGCAGTAGTAGTAGTAAAAGTCGTAGTAGTAATATATAATTAGCCGTTGTCGTCATAGTACTAGTAGTCGTCGCCGTAGGTTTGCTAGTAGAAGTAGTAGACGTGGTCGTAGTAGTGGTAGTAGTTGTAGCAGTCGTAGTCGTAGTCGTATTAGTTGTAGTAGCAGTAGTTGTGGCTGTAGTCGTAGTCGTAGTCGTAGTCGTAGCCGTAGTCGTAGTCGTATACGCAGCAGTGTTACTGGTAGTAGTAGTAGTAGTAGTAGTAGTAGTAGTAGTAGTAGTAGTAGTGGTAGTGGTAGTAGTAGTAGTAGTAGCAGTAGTAGTAGTAGTAGTAGTAGTAGTAGTAGTAATAGCAGTAGTAGCAGTAGTAGCAGTAGAAGTAGTAGAAGCAGTAGTAGTAGTAGTAGTAGTAGTAGTAGTAGTAATCGTAGGATAATAGTAGTAGTAATAGTAGTAGTAGTAGTAGTAGTAGTAGTAGTAGTAGTAGTAGTAGTAGTAGTAGTCATGCTGGTAGTAGTAGTAGCCGTAGTAGTAGTGGTATTCGCAGTCGTCGTCGTAGTTGTTAATGTCGTAGTAGTAGTAGTCGTAGTAGTCTTCTTACTAGTACTCATTGTCCTAGTAGAAGTCGTGGTGGCGGTGGTCGACGTCGTAGTAATTGTATGGTAATCGCAGTAGTAGATATCGCAGTAGTTATACTAGTCGTAGTAGTAGTAGTCGTAGTCGCAGTCGTTGTCGTAATACCGATCGGATTCGTAGAAGTAGCAGTCGCGGTATTAGTAGAAATGGTAGTAGTAGCAATGATCGTAGTCGTAGTAGTAGTAGTAGTCGTCGTAGTAGGAGTAGTAGTAGTAGTGGTAGTAGTAGTCGTAGTGGTAGTAGCAGTAGTAGTGGTAATTGTAGTAGTAGTAGTAGTAGTAGTAGTAGTAGTCGTAGTAGTAGTAGTAGTAGTAGGAGTAGTAGTAGTAGTAGTAGTAGTATTAGTAGTAGTAGTCGTAGTAGTAGTAGTAGTAGTAGTAGTAGGAGTGGTAGTAGTAGTAGTAGTAGTAGTAGTAGTAGTGATCGTAGTAGTAGTAGTAGTAGTAGTAGTAGTAGTAGTAGTCGTAGTAGTAGTAGTAGTAGTAGTCGTAGTAGTAGTAGCGTAGCAGTAGTAGTAGTAGTAGTAGTAGTAGTAGTAGTAGTAGTAGTAGTAGTAGTAGTAGTAGTAGCAGTAGCAGTAGCAGTAGCAGTAGCAGTAGCAGTAGCAGTAGCAGTAGCAGTAGCAGTAGCAGTAGCAGTAGCAGTAGTAGTAGTCGTAGTAGTCGTAGTAGTCGTAGTAGTAGTAGTAGTAGTAGTAGTAGTAGTAGTAGTAGTCGTAGTAGTAGTAGTAGTAGTAGTAGTAGTAGTAGTCATGGTCATTGGACTAGCAGTCGTAGTCGTGGTTGTAGTAGTAGTAGTAGTGGCAGTAGTAGTAGTAGTAGTAGTAGTAGTAGTAGTCGTTACTATCGTTGTGGTCGTCGTAGTAGCAGTAGTCGTCGCCGTAGTTAGATTAGCCGAGGCAGCAGTAATAGTAGTAGCATGTGTTCTCGTAGTCTTAGTGGTAGTAGTAGTGGTAGTAGTAGTAGTAGTAGTATTTGTAGTAGCCGTAGTAGTAGTAGTCGTAGTAGTAGTAGTAGGAGTAGTCGTAGTAGTCGTAGTAGTAGTAACTCTATTATTAGTAGTAGTATCAGCCCTCGTTGTGGGAGTAGTAGTAGGTGTTACTAGTAATGGTAATGGTAGTATTAGGAGCAGTAGTAGTAGTAGTAGTAGTAGTCGTAGTAGTAGTAGTGGACGGAGTAGTAGCAGTTTCAGTAGTAATAGTATTATTAGTAGTAGTAGTAGTAGTAGTAGTTGTAGTAGTAGTAGTAGTAATAGTCGTCGTAGTCGTCGTAGTCGTCGTAGTCGTCGTAGTAGTAGTAGCAGTAGTAGTAGTAGTAGTAGTCGTAGTAGTAGTTGTAGTGGCAGTCGTAGTACTAGAAGTCGTAGTAGTAGTAGTAGTAGTAGTAGTAGTAGTAGTAGTAGTACTAGTAGTAGTAGTAGTAGTAGTAGTAGTAGTAGTAGTAGTAGTAGTAGTAGTAGTAGTAGTAGTAGTAGTAGTAGTAGTAGTAGTAGTAGTAGTAGTAGTAGTAGTAGTAGTAGTAGTAGTAGTAGTAGTAGTAGTAGTAGTGTATGATTAGTCGTAGTCTTAGCCGTTGTCGTTGTCGTCGTCGGGGTGTACTTGTTAAGTGTCGCAACAGTAGTAGCAGCAGTGCCTGTAGCATTAGTACAGCGCAGACAGGTTTTGCGAATTTGTTTGTTTTGCGTTCTCGAAGCGCTCCTGTCGCCGTTGCCGACGATGCTGGCAGCGACTGGAACGACGACGACGGCCGCGGCGATGGCAATGGCGCGGACAAACCTCAAAACGTGGGTCTTTTGTAAAATTTAATAGCCAGGGCCCGGAACGGACGAAGGTACTAAAGACTAATCGCAGCAGGTCTCAGCCATGTCCAGCACGGCAGCGCCTCCACAATTCCCTGCCGCATGCAGGCCTCTCTCATCCTTTTCCCCCTCGCCTTCTGATTTCCTGGCGGCCAGAGGACCCTCTTTGCGGGAGCATCAATTACGGCGAAGGCAAGGCAAGGAACCGCTGGTGCCAGCTCCTTCCCGCTGAGGAGCCCCCCCTAGCTGTGCTTTGGGCGGTGTGTTCTCCTTGTGGAGGAAGAGGAGGGGACTTTTGGAGGATCCACGGGGGTACCAGGAGGTTAGGTTTGATGCTATCAGGGGTTTTGGACATCAGCTGGGACTTCAGAGGTTCCTAGGGCTTTCAGAGTGGAGGAGGAGGAGGAGTGGAACGAATAGGATGAAGGAAAGGAGGTCGAGGAGGACGACGAGATTTTGAGCAGCAGCCCGCCCTGCGCGGTCTTTCGCGCGCACCCTGCTTGCCCAAGTCGCTCGCGAGAGCCTGCGTTTTCTGCACGGCCCGTCGCCCAGGGAGCACTCATGAAGTCAAATGGATCGCAGCGTCATGAACAGTCAACCGACATAGTAAGGATGAACGGCTTTCCAAGGGTAACCCTGGCATCTCTCTCTTTTGGTTTATCCTTGGTCGCTAAGTATGGCCGTGCACGGTTCGCAAAGTGTTGAAATGGCCATCCAAGGCCCGTGCGTCCTTATCGTGCGTCCTTGCTGTGCGGATGGACTGCGCTCGACACAAACACCAACTTTCAGAGGTCCGCGTGGGCGCCTTGGGCCGAGGCGCCAGGTCTTCCTTCCCAGCCACCCCCCTCTGCGGGCGCCCCCCTCTGCGCCAGCCCTCGGCGCGTTTCGCGCGCCGGCAAAAGGGCACGCAGGGACTCGGGGAACCGGGCGCGCGGACCCTGCCACGGTCGACCCGCACAGGAAGGACGAGCGACTTTCACGGGGGTGCCCTTTGCATCCTGCTCCTGCGGCCCATCCTTGGCCGCTTTCGCTGGTCGCCCCCCCGCTCGCAGAGTGCCGACATGGCCTTCCAAGGCCCTTGATGAATCCTTGTCGTGCGTTCTTGTTGTACGGGTTTACTGCACCGTTCATGTTCTGCTCTTCTATGATCGTGCCCTCTCGTATGTCCTGCTCGTCTTTTGGGCTCGAGGTTTTTTCGGCTCCGCGTCGTCAGCCAAGAGTCCCCAGGGCGACCGCGAGTTTGCTCGGCGCGATGCGGACCGCATGCTCCGCCGCAGGTGTGTTTGCATTACTTTCATTCGTTGCAGCGGCGGACTGTGCTGATTACAGCTGCAGCGCAGACCAGGACCAGGAGTCGGGTTCATGTTGAGAACGCTCTGGGCGCTTTTCGCCTTACTTTATTCGGCGTCAGGGAAGCTGTTTCTTAGCGTCTTCATCTACTTGAGTATCTAGTGGCCTTTGGCCCATCGTGTCACTGTCCCTGGGTCGAGGACAAGGGGCCGCTAAGAGACCTCTCGGGGGTTATTGGGTGTTTTGGGAGCCTCTTGCAGGCCCCAAAGGTGCCTCTGGATGGTCTCTCGGTATCCTGTGGAGCCTCCTGCGGCCTCCTCGAAGGCTCCAGAAGTCAGCCCTGTTGAGTGAGCCCCCTGTCCAGGGCTCCGCTCACGACCCCTGGGACCATCTCAGGGCATGTAGGGTTGGGGCCCCCTACCGCACTCCCTGGACCCGGAACAGTAAAGCGTGGATCCCCGAGAGCGCCCAGAGATTTCATGATGTTGGAGTTGAGTGTGACAGAGGACTCGAAGTGACCTGAGCATTTTCAATTTCCTGCCTCGGGTCGCAGTTGCGAAGCCACTGCACATGATGCGACGCATTGAAGCAAGGCCATCGCAAGTCACATTTGTCCCCATGCGGTGCTTGCACTGCGGGGCTCTTACCAGGCTCGACAGGAAGATCTATGGGCGGTGTTCTATGGCTGACGCCCCGTGATATGTTAGGTTTGCGATTTCTCGTGCTTGCCTTGGTACCGACGGATAGTGTTCTGCGTCTTTTGCTTTACTGAGGCTCAATGGTTGCGATTTCTCTTTCTTGGTTTGGTGTCCTGTGGGTGGTTCTCTGCGACTGGCGCCCTTGGGCGCCGTGTTGTTATCCATGCATTGGTCTTGTCTTGGTGCACTGCGGGCGGTGCTCTACGTTTGGCGCCCTCCGATGCCGTAGTGTCTTCAATGTACGCATCGTCCTTGCGTTGGAGCCATTTCGGGGGTTCACTAGGACAGGCATCACGTGATGCCTTGATGGTTACAAGTTCTAGTTCTTGCCTTGGGTGGCCTGTGGTTGGTGCTCTATGGCTAGCTCCCGGTGATACCTAGATTGTTGTAATTCTTCACGCTTCGTGTGTCCCCACCAGCCAGTTCAGAAACCTTGCCCATGTGAGTTGACGGGAAAAGGAACGAAGAGGCACGTCGCATAGTGAAACAAAGCTCGGCGGATCCATGGAACCTGGGGACGAGGAGAGGAGTACCAGTGACCAGTGTAAACCCAAGAGTCATCAACGATGTTATAATAAACCCTCCCTCCAAGCTCCCTCTCCATAGGCCCCTACAGTGGTTCATTTCCACTGAGGGAACTGCTTCGTTGGAAGACAACCGTTTGAAGACCCTGAAGCATGCCAAAACATTGTCCTCGGGATTCAATCGCCACTGATCAACCTGACAGTTGCAGTTTGACGATCCTGAACCGTGCTGGAACGCCATTCCTGGGACTTCAACACCGCGAATTAACGTGACTGTTGCGCCCTCATTATCCAGAATCCTTCCAAAGCGTGAATTCTGGTACGTTGAGCATGGGAATCCACTACACTCTTGTAGAAACGAATGTGCGCGGCGTTAAGGCGAGAGTCACATTTTGGAAAGACGCCGCCCTCATTACGTGAACGTCTTGCAAAGTTTAAGAGGGAATGTGCGCGGCGCTAAAAAGGAACCGCCCTCAAACCGTGACGCCCTCGTATTTTTTAGTAGGAATGCACGCGGCGCTAAGGCGATAACCACATTTTGAAAACGGCCCGCCCTCCATCTGTGAAGTTGTTGCCCATGTTTCAGCTTCAGGGTCATAAATGATGAGGAAATGATGAGGCCGTGTCATGCGACACGCCCGGCCCGTCGTCAAAACTGGCCTTGCGGTGCGACATGGAGAAGGTATCTTACAGGAAACAAATTGGAGGAGGAGGCGGCGGCAAACCGCCTCTCGGGGCCCTCGTGGGACGCCCTAGGGGCGCTCTTGGGTGCTCTTGGGGCCGTCCTGGGGCCCTCTTGGGAGCTCTGGAGGGCCTCTTGAGGCCATCATGGGTGCTATCGATCATTGGAGGGGGGTCACCGATGTCCGCCGCCCCCCCCCCCGCAGCCATCAAAATCGCCTCTTCGGTCGCTTTTTGGCCGCTCTTGGGGCTCTTTTGAACGGTCTTGGGCTCCTCTTGGAGCTCTTCTGGGCCCTCTTGGGGCTCTCTTGAGCCCTGGAGGGCCACTTAGGGCTATCGTGGAGGGCGTCGGTGAACAGAAGGGGGTCCTAACGTTTGGTCCCCTGTTCTGGAGCCCTCCAGCTCGCCCTCTTGGGGCCCTCTTGGGGCACCCCTGGGGCGATCTTGGGCGCTCGTGGGGTCCGTCTTGGGGGGCTCCTGGGCCCATCTTGGGGCTCTTATGGGCCATCTTGGGGCCATCTTGAGGCCTCCAAAGCTCGGGCCGGGCGAAAGGGGGGGATTGGGAAAGGGGGGGTTACGAAATTTGCTGCATGCAGCTGGTTTCGGCCTCACTGAGGGGCCCATTCCTCGATACATAGCTGCCTCCGGCGCCAGGAGGCGCCAGGAAAACCAGCTACGTGAGCTGATTCTCACCCCCCCCTTTGCTATCCCCCCCTTTCGCCCGACCCGAAAAGCGCATCGGAAGCGGAAAAGCAAGAAGGCACCCGTCATTGATGTTCCATTGGTTTTTGTGGTTTCTTCGGGGGGAGTGCTGATGGGGGCTCCGAGAGCACTTGGAACCACATTGTGGCCCTCATCGGTTCACGTCGGAAGTCATCTTGATTATCATCGGAGGGAAGTCGGAAGTTATCTTGATTCATTGTCGGTTATCTTGATCCGCCTTAGAGGCCATCTTGGAACATCGGAGGCCCTCTTGGAGCCATCTTCGACGACCAAGGACCCCCTAACGCATTGCTGCCCACGCCAAAACACCTCAGGGAGGTAAGTGAGAGGGTACCCTTCCCCACAGGGAAGATAGTTTGGAAGAGGGAATACGAGCTCATTAGATCCCCTTCAGACGGGCTGGTGGGATTCCTCGTTCGTGCCTCGGTGCCCTGTGGGCGGAGCTCCATGGCCGGCGTCCTGTGATGCCGTGATGGTTGCGATGTTTCGTCCTTGCCGTGGTGCCTTTTGGAGGGTTTTCAACGGTTCGTGATGTCTAGCGCCTTACTGGTGGTGAAGTGTGCCTCTTGTACAGTGGGGGCGCGCATCAAGAAACCAGATGCTTTTCGTCAGGGTATCCTGGGTTTCTTCGCCCCTCGCGCTGCGCGGTGACTTCCCGCAGCCGTTGAAGGAGCTGCTGCGTTCAGGGTGCTCCGAGTTTCCCCTCAGATGTACCTCGCGCGCGGGTTCTCAGGATTTCTTGCGGCCGCGCCTGCACTGTATCGAAACCCTATGCGTTGTGCCACATGGACGGTGCCCTATAATGACCTCGCTGTCACGAATTGGTGTTGTCGCCATGTGCGCCCAGCACATTGCATCACGGTGGGCGCATACCTGAGACAACGCATTCACTGTATGAATGGCACACATTATGTTGCACATTGGGGGTGCTTTAAGTTACAATTAGGGGTCCGCATTGGCAACCATTGAGTAAGTTTGCATATCGGAGTTGTTACTGCTACTGCTACTGCTGTCACCAAGCCTACTGCTGTTTTTGCCGATTGGGGCCAGCTTGTCCGCAGCAAAATCTGGATTGTCTTCGTAGCTGTTCAGGCGTTTGTGTACATATATCTATACACATATATGTATATATCGATGTATGTCTCTCTCTCTATGTGTGTGTGTGTTCAAAGCTGTGATGCCCGGGCCCTTCTGGGCTGGGCCCTAGTCTTGAAGACAGCATCTGGTGACTTTAAGGGTAGGTCTTTGGGAGATGTTATAGTATCGGGAGCATAGCTCGCGCGCGCCGTTGCCTTTGGCCCAAGGCACGCGCGCCCTATTTGCCCGGACACCGCGAGTGTTCGCTATGTGCTGGAAAGATCATTACATCGATCTTATCCTATCTTATCCGTCCACCCCTCATACTGTACCTTCACAGCAGAGCGATGGGCGCTATTTGCCATATTTGAGCTACCAGGCTCACTTTCGACTTGGTAGCGGAGCTGGCCGCACTCTCGTGTGGTCAGCTCTTGCTCTTCTTAGCCTCATACTCTTCGGCACGATCTTCGTGACCACCTGCCACCCAGCGCTACCACTCCCAGTACGTTTACGAGGATCTATCCAAGAGCAAGAAGCAACACGAGAGGTACGACGTCTAGACGACCAGATTAGTACCATATACGCTTCATCATTGCGTTACCACCAACCGCTCGGCAACGAACTAACAGCGCAATACTTGAAGCAGGGGCGGGGAGACCCGCCAGACAGAGCGCCTCGAAGACTCGACAAGGCGCTACCCCAGCGCGGCAACGCGCATTATAACCGTCCTTCTCTACACATTCTCGGGCTAGTCGTTTTCGCTATTATATGGTTCGCGCTGGGGGCAGCAATCGGACACATGCGTCGTGGAGAAAACAGCACCGATGGGCAAACACATGGCCCATATTGGGACCCTCAAGGTAATGTACCTTTTCGCGAGTACATTTACGAGGTCAACGCATGGCTCAACGTTACAAGCGGACGTATGACGCCACAGGCCCAAGCGGCCGCAATACAACGCGGCCTAGGTGGCCTAGCGAGGACACTCGCCATGAGGGTACCGCCTGACATTATAAACTATGGTGCTGACATCGATGGGGTCCACACCGACCCAGTGACCTACATCATGTTCCTCCTAAGCATGAAGTTCGAACGCCTGGAAGATGAGCGACAGCTCACTTCCGGCACACAACTCATCGACTTCCACGTGCCTCACGGGGAACGAATCGATGTCACCCTTACCCGATTCGAAATTGCCCGACTTGAGGCACAGTCGGTGGGATTCGACCTTCCCAACTTCCAACTGCTAACCACTATCCTATTCCGCGCCTTAGGCGTCGGCAACCAGAGAGCCATGCAACTCTTACAGCCACTCAATCACCAAATGCCCCGAACACAACAACAGTATGATGAGTTGC